GCTGAACATAAGGAAGCCACAGCAAACTGGTTCTTTCAAATACCAGAATTAATCATGTCTTTCTTAAAAAAAAAAAAACTAAACTAAATAACCCACTTTGCTTATTTTGCAGGACCTGAAAATAAGATTTGTACCTTTCACATAACACGTTCAGTAATAGAAAATTACTAGGCTAGGTTAATAGCTTTAATCATACCTGTGCCACTTGCTGCAGTAAGGTCACACTTTGGGCATGGGGTATCAACATCTAAATATAGCCAAACATTCTTATCCTATTCTATGAAACTAAAAAATCTAAGTTGAACATGCAAGTCAAAACACTGTTGCATACATCCCAAAATTATGGTAGGAATACTCTAAATGCAGCATATTGACATAAACTCAGGATAAATTAATATCCTAAGTAAGTACTTTGAAATTCAGTAAGAAATGTGTGAATATAAGAACAAAGTTTTACTGCTTTTTTGTTGATTTAGAAAAAGTACATAATAAAGTAAATAGGCTTGATGATTGTGGAACACTTTGGATAATATGGATTGCAGGCTGGTTGCTGAATGCATTAATAATTACATACGTATGTTGGAAATATATATGGAATGGTTAGCAAATGGCACTGAACCGGGAATAAAAAAATGGGTGAATTTGTGAAATCTGCTAAAAGAGATAAGTTTAGAGAATAAAAAATGGAAGAAGTTGTGGAAGAATGGACAAATATGGTAAGGTATAACAAATGATGTTGTTGTAAAGTTATTTTGCTCTTGTTTCTTTTTATGTTTATTACCTATAGAATTAATTTATTTGGTTCACTATTTTTATTCCTTTGCTTCACTTTGCATAATGTTGCTCACTTAAAAGAAATTATGTGATTGATATGAATGAATATGTGCATGTAAGAACTGAAGCAGGGTCCAGAAAATATTGTTCTTGTGTTATAGGGGCAGTTATTTTTATGTGCTATTAACAATTGTGGGTCAAAAAGTAAATTCAGCTCTCTTTTTGGAAACAAAAAATGCCAACTCAGTTTAGCATCTATAAACAGTATGTGTATTTAAGCTCTCGGGAAGAATCATTGGCCTATGCTCCATGAACAATGATTACATATATGATTACCTGATGTGTCATTTCTAAATGTCACCTAGGGCACTTGTCCTGAGATATTTATTATGCTATTGTCATATCTTATTCACATAATTGTACAATGGGTAGATGCAATATTCATTTATAATCTTCCTATCTATTTTCTTTCTCACCAGAAAATCAATTAAGGAANCTTTGGTGGGAAGGTAACAGCGTTCCGTGCGCCTTTGGCGTTTAGTCATGCTGGCCACATGACCACGGAGACGTCTTCGGATGGCACTGGCACTTTGGCTTTGAAATGGAGATGAGCACCACCCCCTAGAGTCAGGAACGACTAGCGCATATGTGCAAGGGGAACCTTTATCACTTTTGGAAAGCTCTTCACCAATCTAGCTAGCTTTCTTGCTTATATGTTTGTTTGTTTTCACACTTCTTAACTTTCCATCTCCCTTAAAGAAGGGCTCTGGGCGTTGTACAATTTAATCCATATAATTAAGCATTAAAAACAGAATAATTTAATATATATATTTTTTAGAAATATAAATCATTACAAAATTACAACAGAGAGAGAGTTCCGGCAGTTAGCAATTCTTAATTCAGACGAGGCAAAGGTTCTCGTGGGGAACCCACACAAGGCTACATAGACATGTTTTGACCCCTTAGCAGAAGGTCAAAAGTTTGGGGTCTTTCCTCATTTCTGAGGGCAAGATGTTCCACAATGCAAGGACAACAGCAAAAAAAGAAAGGCCCTCTACAGTATCTAGATCAGTGTTTCTCAACCTTGGCAACTTGAAGATTGCCGGACTTCAACTCCCAGAATTCCCCAGCCAGCATTCGCTGGCTGGGGAATTCTGGGAGTTGAAGTCCAGACATCTTCAAGTAGCCAAGGTTGCGAAACACTGATCTAGATCCATGGTGACATCCCAATCTTCATTCTAAAAGATCTAAAACCTGCAAAGAACAGTTGAAGGAATTGGGTCAGAGATGGTATTCAGCAGGTTCTGACCAGTTCTGGAAAACTGGTAGTGGAAATTTTGAGTAGTTTGGGGAATTAATAAATGCCACCTCTGGCTGGCCCTGCCCCTATCTATTCTCCACCCCCCAAGTCCCAGCTGATCGGGAGGAAATGGGGCTTTTGCAGTAACCTTCCCCTGCCACGCCCACCAAGTCACACCCATCAAGCAATGCCACACCCACCAAGCCACGCTCACAGAACAGGTAGTAAAAAATTTTCAATCCCACCACTGTTGGATTCATCTAGTCTAGTGAAAATGTTAGCAGTGTCCTGATATTTAAGGGGCTGCCACAAAGAACAGGAGATCAACTTATTTTCCAAAGCACCAATAGGCAAAACAAGGGATGGAAACTACTCATCGGGAGAACCAACATAGAGCTAAGGAGGAATTTCCTGACAGTGAGAACAGTGAGAGCAGAAGTTGCCTTCAGAAGTCATGGATGCTCCATCACTGGAGGCTTTTAAGAAGAGACTGGACAGCCACTTGCCTGAAATGGTAGAGGGTCCCCTGCTTGAGCAGGGGGTTGGACTGGAAGACCTCCAAGGTCCCTTCCAACTCTCTTATTCTGTTCTGCTCCTGCAGAAGTCAGTCCTTGACCTGTTCTCCAAAACCCAGCACTGATGTTCTCCGTATCAAGAACACCTGCCACCATATATATGGTGGTTGATTTTTTTTTCCCCTCTGCAAGATCAATCAAGCCTGAAATTCAATCTGGAATGAGCCAACTTACCTTTTGAAAAGCACTCAATAAAGGGATAAAGTGTTGAGAAATGCTAATGTGGAAGCCTTGTTCTCCCCGACTGCAGGTGGGACGTACCATGAGGGACCAGAAACAAGTCAAGCTGAACAAACAATTAACTATAAATTATTTAGCTGACTGGTTTAATTCCCTCTCCTCTCCCAGAATATCCAGGAACAGGTCATGATTTTGAAAATGTTCTATGAAATGTGTGGGCCCATTCATAATAATCTTTTGTACAGGAATTTCTCAGGGACATAGAAGCACGCATATATTAATGTCAAGCTAGGCGATCATTGCCTCTTTCCCCCCCCCCCAGAAATGTTCATAGATGCATAATAAGAATCAAGGTGGTGCAGTGGTTAGAGTGCAGTACTGCAAGCTACTTTAGCTGACTGCTAGCTGAAGTTCGGCAGTTCAAATCTCACTGGCTCAAGGTTGATTCAGCCTTCCATCCTTCCGAGGTGGGTAAAATGATTGTTGGGGGCAATAGGCTGACTATATAAACTGCTTATAGAGGGCCGTAAAAGCACTGTGAAGCGGTATACAAGTCTAAGTGTCAGCCTTCCAAGTAGCATTCAAAAGTAAATCAGAGTCCAAGGCAAAGTATTGCACCAAGGTCCAATTAATTAAGAGAGCCATGTTGGCACATCTGGGAAAACCTGAATCTGAAAGCTTCACGGTTTTCCCTACACAGTTGAAAGTTCAAGATCTTGACCCCATACACACAGGTCCATTCCATCGTCCAATCTCCCACTGCCATGCTGGCAGTTCCACCCATTCAGTTCCGGTCAGGTGCAGAGGTGCAGAGACAAGGGATGACCTTGGCTTCCTAGAAAGAATTTTGTTATGGCTACATCGCATCTAACTGCGCACAATCCCCCTCCCATTTTCCCACAATAGAAAATGCATAGCAGAATAATAGAAAGAGTGGCAGGCCAAAGATCCAAAAGAAAAGATAGATGCAGGCCTGACATTAAATGCTATTCCTTCCTTCCTTCCTTCCT